TCTCTAATAAAAACCCAACCAGTGGAGGTCAAGTTTATGACCGGGAAAGTCTATAGGTAACACAACCTCACGAAAGCTAGCCCACTTTTCCTATCACTTCTCATGGAACAAACAAACCTCCTTTTGGCATTTATCCATGTTTAAGAACTTAACTGAAACAAAATGGATGGAAGTAGGTAGGTAAGTATAACTAATTGCGCTCTACCAATTAACTATGTATTCTGTGGCTCTACGCAGTAATTATTTCATGATCTTTAGGTTCATCTTTCTTTATTACCATACTTAATAGTTAATATTCAGTTTGGCAGTAGAACCTGTTTTCTTGACCTTTTTATTACTTAATCCCTAACTTGTTTAGAAAAGAAGTTAAACTTGTTCACAAAGTAGCTAAGTAGGTACTTACTGATGAACAAAGATAACAACAAAAAGTAGATTCGATATAATTTTTAGTAATTCCTATCACTTTTTGATAGGCCCGCCCATAAAACTTCGTTTTATCACATCAAAAATAGTATTTTTTGTAATTATTAAGAAGTTCTTTTTTTAATTAATCCAACAAATATCGTTTAATATTTTCACCAATAAGAGTGTGTTTTAGCAAATAAACTTACAGTAATTAGGCTTATTCTACCTTAGTAACTTAGTAACAGATAATAAACGTGACGCTAAGCCATTACGTCATCAAGTTGATAGGCAAAAACAAAAACCAATCCCTATTATCTTTCTGAAGGACGTTTTTTGCTAAGCCAAAAGCCAAGGCTGGTTTTGTATTCGTGTCGTGCCTGGTCAAACTGGTTGGTTGGTATACAGACGTCATAATCAAACTGTAAGAACTTTTATATCTATTACGTTGGCAATAGGAGCTATTATGCTACAAAAATGTATAGTCTATTGAGCTGTTTCTCTGTACAGTCAGCGTCAAATAGTTCGTGACACACAAAGTGGCCAAAAAGTTGACATCATCATCATCAATTCAGCCATAGGACGTCCACTGCTGAACATAGGCCTCCCCTAATGCTTTCCATGTTAAAGTTGACAACACAACCTTATTCCAATCGTAACAAAGACGTGTTAGCTTTAGACCTTTTGGCTACTTTGGATTAGGGATTATATGGATATGTAGTTTCGGTTATGGATACGGTTACGGATATAGGAATAATATTATACCGGTTTCGGTCACAGTTACGGATATTTTGTTATTTCGGTTATCCGAAAGTTACGATTACGGATATCTGTGCTTCAGAGTGTAATTTGCAATAGTTTTCCAACACGGTTCATTCATGGCCGCACACTTTATATCGAATAAAAAGTAATTAATAAAAAAATAAAAATTGATACTAGATGGCATTATAAAGGTAAATCAGGCTTTTATGCCTTTTCATATAATGCTATCATCATCATCATCATCATCAACAGCCCTTTACAGTCCACTGCTGGACTATGAGCCTCCTCCACTATGGTGGAGGGATTTGCCATAATCTCCACGCTTGGCAGGCGGGTTGGAGATCGCAGTTTAAAAGATTGATGTTTATTTTCAGAGAGCGCTGCTGCCCATTCTCTGTTTGTTGTGTAGTCCCTAAGTCGCCTCTTACGACACCCGCGGGAAGAGTAGGGGTTGGTGACAAATGTATTCTACTCTGCCGTCACCACACGGCGAATATATACATATATACAGTGACGTATATAATGCTATACAAAAAATAATTTAAGCTGCCTACATCCGAAACTATCCTAAACTTTTGAAAGGTTAAGGTTACGGATATTTTTTTATTTCGGATATCCGAAAGTTTCGGTTACGGTTACGGATATCCATAACATCCCTGCTTTGGATGTCACGAAGTATATTATGACGCTGACTGTAGGTACTCTAATCATTAATCGGTCCAGCCTTTAAAAGTAAGAATACATAACAATTTATGTTCTTACAACTAAATAGGTTTGAATGTTTAATTGTTATGAAAACCCTGATTATTTTATTGTCTCTGTGACCTTATTTATTCTATTTTTAATTACAATGGTTTGATTATTTTAGTACAATGATTCAGGCCTTTTGTTTAGCGAAGTTGGCTTTTCAGCCACCTGGCGCGGTGGAGGGTGGTTCGCGTATAAAGAAAGCTAGTTGTGGGTTTACATCCCGGTGTGGACAAATAAAATGAGTTATTATTTTTTATTTCTTATCGAATAAATAAACATGGACATTGGACAAGCTTAACTCAGTTTGGAGCTAGTAAATTAGTGGTGCGAAATAGTGGTAGGGCAAGTATTTTTTTTATCCAGAATGAGGAAGCTTTTGGCCTGCATCTCACCTCTCTGTATTTTAAGACGTATAAAAGCTTTTTTAAGAGCCTTGTTGTAATTAATCAATTACTTTTAGGATAGGTATTACTTTTATTGGTGGGGCTGTTTGTAAAAAGTATTTATAGTAACGATAAAAGTGAATTTAAAACGATAATCATTTATTGGTCACATGTTTGTATGTGCACCAAGTTTTTAGTAGGCTACCTACAATAATTTAATGTGTTAATTGTTATCTGTTTGTTTACTCGTTTATTTCGACTAGTCACAGATAATAGGATGACCCCCAGCTCAGCTGACAAAAAATATTGAAGCGCAATAATTTTCACTGTTTCAGATCATTTTTTTTTCTACCTACCTATTAAGTATATGCCTGTAAATAATGAAAATCCTTGGGGGAGGCCTTTGTCCAGCAGTGGACGTCATTGGACTGAAAAAGTTTTTGACATCAATTCAATAAAATTGCAAAGATGTAAAGTAGCGAAGCGATCACGAAATCTAATTGTTTATAGAAATAGTCACAATTTACGAATCATCACTGAAGAATCGATCCTATTACTTAGCGTGTAATTGATATAAAAGTTTTAACATTAGTTTAAGTAATATTCAAGTTTTTCAGGCGTGAATCTACAGTAGATTTCTTCTACTTAAGTTTATGTGCCACTAGCTTTTGCCCACGGCTTCACCCGCGTGAATTTTAGTGTCACAGATCGGCATAAATTATAGCCTATATTTAATCTGGGTTACAAACAATAATCAACCAAATCCATTCAGTAGTTTTTGCGTGAAAGAGTAACATACATACATCATGACATCCTAACATCCATACAAACTTTCGCATTTATAATATTAGCAGGATTGTAAACAATTTCCTAATCAACAAAGACAAATAAGAAAATTTGACATTCAAGTCACCCCCACTAAAGAAAGCATCTCTACGCGCAATGCGCATGCCGCATGCGCAGCTGGGAAAGATCACATGCACCTAGGGTTGCCAACTATACTGTTTTTCACCAAAACATACTTTTTACTGATGAACAAAAATAAAGTAGGTATACAAAATACTGTTTTCAGCAAGCATCACTAGTATCTATAGATATTTTTAAAAATAAATGCCCAACACTACATTTAGTTACGCGATGTAGAGCTAAACTGTTTATTTTTTTTAAATACTGTTTGTTTTCCTTCTCCGACCTTTGATAACTTTATATTAAAAAAAAAAGTTGGCAACCCTTACATGCACCTGTTATGGTATACTTAAAAAGAACTCGATATTACGATAACGCTTTTTGTTTTTATATACGATAACACGTTGTTTTAATACGCAGTTTGAGATATTTTGTTGACGACTCTTAATCAAGTTGTGGGTAGGTACAATTAAAATTAAGTAACGGATGCGGATAAAATTTTAACAATACTTAGTCCAATGTTTTATTAGTTAGGCCGTAATATAGTAAGTTTAGTATTTTATTTATTATTTTAGTTAGATAAGTACTTATATATTTATGTAGAAAAGAGTTTATGAGAAAGTTAGTGCAAAGGGGTGCCTGAGTTGTCCAGACTCCCTTAAAATTTCAAAATGTAGAGATTACATCGCAAGTCCATAATATTTGGCCATATGACTTAAGAAAAATAACATAATTATGTGTATTTTACCTTGTGAACAATACAGATAGAAAAGGCGGGTATTTGCAAGTTCAATCGCTAAAAGGGTGAAATGAGGGTATTATTGTGAAACGCGACATTTACGCCGGCAAAGTTGTAACAGCATTCCTAAATGTATTAAAGTCCAATAAAACCGACTTATAATGAAAACAAGTTTGCTCAAGTGTTATTATAACCATGAATCATGTTTAAGTTATGTTTTACATAATAAGTTTATATCGATTAAAATTGCTTTTATCTAGTAACAAAGTGTCTGTGCCAATTTTATCTGTTTTGGTATATTTCAAATTATGATCACACTAGTTATTATATAAAATATGTTGAACCTTTATCAACGAACAGTGTTCATTGTGGTTAGTATTGTCTTAATAACAAGTAAATAAGACTTATTTTAGCGAAAATATGGAGTTCAGTGATACTGAAAGGTTATCGTTACATGTGGTGAGAACTTGTTAAACTTATTTATTTATAAACAATTTGTCGGTATGATACGTTTTTGAGATAAAATAGAACTACCTACATATTTTAATTGCCAAAGTTAAAAGGCACGTGGTGCCATTTTCTTTGTAATTAATAAAACAAAGTTAAAAACCACAAATATGTTCGGATAATNCGGATAATTACGATCTTAGCTGTAGAATGAAGATATGAAAAAACTAATTGGAATCTTATTGAAATTTTAGCAAAAACAATCATCCAAAAATACCCACAGAAATTATGTATGGTCAAAGATGCTAGGGGTCCAGTGAAGTCCACATGGCTTTCTATGAGAATTACTAAGATTAGATAAGATAGCAATATGAAAGGCAATCAAACCAGTTCTCAAAACCAGAATCTACCATTGAAAGTGAATGCAGTCAGTTCACGGATGATCGCAAAATTCGTTCGATATGTGCCACTTAAATATCTATATTAACAAATTCAAAACTTCTCTGTTAAATTAGGAAAGAGTTAATTAAGATTAACCCTTATTCCGAAGCCCTAATAACGGAAGATCCTTAGTTGTAACTCAAGTTCTTAAGCATCAGAGCGTGACGTACCTTAATCTGTTGGCGGGCACTAGCACTGGATAGAATAGCCGCAGTCCTCTCCAAATTCGCCGTTACGGACCTCAATCCGAACCTTATTAGTGACACCGCCATTTTGGTTTAACTGCCACGAGTCTCATTTAAAAAGTTCGATTTTTAAACAACTGTCACCGGCGCGCGCGTTCACACTGACGCCCGGAGCCGCACTGTACGAAAACCGAGTAACTTGTGTTTTGGAATGGCGGATTGGTTTTATTTGTTTGGTGGGTAGGGTGGGGAGTTGTTTTGGACCTGTGTGCATGTGCTCAGGCACGGAGACCGGCGATATTGTAGATAAATAAACGCAATTCAACCTTTGTTAGGATACAACAGAATTGGAAATGTTTTACAATTAATTATGCTTTTTGGTTGGTAAACAAAGAATAGGGAAGTGTTCCTTCTTTGCAGAATAACAGACTGTTTGGTATAAATAGAGTTTTGAGTGAGAATTAATACTTTTTGATGCTTATTTCGTGAAAAGGGGCCATTACCATTATAATGCCGTAGCTGATAATTTTCAGCAGTGCTAGTACGTGTGATAGCTAGTTCAATGATTGCTTTAAAATCAAATTACCCACTTTTTAACCTACACATTGTTAAAATGACGGTGAAGCGCGTGTAATCAATTTCTTTTCACCTACCTGCTTTGTTTAAAATATTTTAGTCTACCATACATTCAAATAAAATAACTATTATCCGTGTATGTAGTCCCTTTATGTTTTTGCGTGAATATTCGGTATTCCGCACGGTGCGTAAAATTGAAAATTATACGCATACGTTATCCGCATTTATTTATGACTTGCTTATTTTGTAGTTGCTACTTGCTAGCTGTCCAATGAATAAACAATTAGGTAGGTAACTTCTTACTTTTAAGTAACTCCGTGAATACTTAATTTAAATATTGAAATTAAAATGTTGATCAAACTCTTATCATAATTAACCCATGTCTCATTTAATGACATAGTTAAACTTTGCTTAATTTGGGGCTAGATGGCTTAGATTGTCTATTATTTTTGATGAAAAGAAAAATTTTCATAGTTTGCCAAGAAATTGAAATTTGGGGAACCTCAAACTCCTTTTTCAGGATATTAACATGACAGGAAAACATCTGTAGAGTCAGTTAAATCTTAATCTACTTAACTAGATAAATTACTTAATAAGGGAAATTTGCAATTTTAACAACGTTGTAGAGGTCCTAGTCCTAGGTAACTTGGTTTAATTATTCTAGATAGATACATGACCTGAATATATCCTAAATCCAGATTAATCTGTAACAAACTCAAGCACGTTCCGTATCGGCAGTTTTACCTCTATTCACTGCTAACAATCAATTTTCTGCTCTATATCCCAGATCATACATATTCTATCTATTCTCGCCTCGACATTGAGGTAGGGTGTAAATAGTGCAATGGGGACTCCGGTGTTTCTATTTGATTGAATTATCGTACACAAATAAGATAGAGATGATTTAATAGAGCCATAAGTGTACTTACGACCTACGACCAATTGTACAAGGACTATGATCGCTTGAGCCATAATTTTTGGACAGTCAAAATAGATTTATACATGCGGGCTAACACGTACTCCACTTGCAATTTAGGCTAATGGCTTCTTGTACGACATTGGAGATAAATAGACAACATTTTTCCTTATTGAGTTTACGAGTAACACTCCAGTAATTTGCGTGATTTATTTTTAATAGGTCGGTAAGGTTCACGCAATAAATTAATCATTAAATAAACTCCTTCGAGGAGTCTAATTGAGGCAACAAGTGCATCAAGATCATTAACTCTAAGGTCAATCAATTTGTACTAGAAATGAAGTAATTAGATGAGATAACTAAAGAACACTGTTTAATTTTTTATTAATGGAAAACTACGAGTAAGTTAATACCTGAACCACTTTTGATGATTTTAAATACAGTTTTTAGATGGATAGAGGTCCTAAGGAAGGTTTTTGGCTTTGACTGACCTACTATAACTAATAGAAAAGTCAAAGCAAAGTACCGGAAAATTACTAGCATTTTAACAGCTTCGAAAGCTCGACACGAAGCTTAATTTTCATGAAAAAGTTTAAATTCTTACTTTAATTGTATTGAGTTAAGATAAGAGTTGAGACAATAAGACTTGAATATTAAATACAACTTCTTAATTTACCTTTACCTACTTGAGTTTATTGCTACACTTTACGTTTGACTGACCTACCTAAAAGTCAAAGCAAAGCTACTTAGGTAGGTAAGTCCCGGAAAATTACATACTAGCATTTTAACAGCTTCGAAAGCTCGACATGAAATTTAATTTTCATTAAGAAAGCGTTTAAAATAAGTTTTTGTATTTTTTTGCTTTATTATTGTTATTGAGTTAAGACAATATGTCTTGAAAATGAAATACAACTTCTTAACTTGTACCTACTTGAGTTTATTGCTACATAGTTATTTAATTTTTAGCGTTAAGAGTCGCATCGTGGGTTCAATTCCCGCCTTAGGCAGTTCGATTTTTTCAAGTTATTTATAATTTTCATATTTATTGCTACAGTTTACTGTATAATAATCTGTACCTAACCATACCTTTTTTTATCCCAGGAAAATGGCCTATCCATTCTACCGCCGGGGACGGCAGGTTATGTTGGGTTCGAACGCACTAAAAACCTGGGGTGTTCCCTCTGCCGCACAGTGCTCGGCGCCCTGGGTACTAGAAATGACCAAGGCGCACCTAACTATATCTACCTTCACTTGTTCCAGGTCCTAAGTGAGTAAATCTGCGTCTACCCACCTTCGCAAAAATGTTCCACCGCGTGCGTACGTGAGTGATTTCAGCAATCGAGGTCTTTTATAACGTCACCGGCAACGTTTTATAAATCGGCAACCTTCATCAATAAAATATGATATGCGAATCGATTATGCCGGAATACAATACCTTATTATGGGATTGCTTATCATGAAGGTATGTCCATAATTTAGGTACCTACCTAGCGACAGAGTTGATGAAAATATGGATAAATTGGAACCTTAATTTTTTAATCTTTACTTAATATTATAAATGCGAAAGAGTGCGAAAGTAACTCTGTCCGTCTGTGTCGCGTTCACGCCTAAACCACTGAACCGATTTTGATGAAATTCAGCATAGAGATAGTTTAAGTCCCGGGAAAGGACATAGGACAGTTTTTATCCCGGTTTTTGCAACAGGGACGCGCGCGATAAAGTTTTTCTGTCACAAACAAAATTTCACGCGGGAAAAGCCGCGGGCGGAAAGCTAGTCCATCAATAATGAGTTATTTTCTTGAAATGATGGAATCTTCGCTATATGAGATGAAGAAATTATGACTCCCAGACATCCTCATGGTGGGTAATTGCGAATTGAACAAGACCTGCATTCTGTAAGTGGATCATGCATACCTACCTACATGTTTCACTGAAATGGGCTCAAGGAACTTTTAATTTATTGTGCCAAGCTGGTTGGGCTGCAGATAAAGTTTTCAGCCTTTTTCGGCCTATGTGCGTAAGCAAGCGCAGTAATTAGCATTTATTTAATATCATTATTCTTTTTTTTCGCTATTAATGACCAATTTATTTGAAGGCCGTGGATCGTAGTGTAGAACATTGACATGCCTGGTGGGACAGAATCTCCCACGGGCCTGGGCAAATCCATGGTTGGAACGGCTTGCAACGATTTTTCGCGAGCAGGTTTAAGTAAACATACATAATGTTGCTTCACCTATTGGCTGGTTAAAGTGGTAAAAAATACCTTTGGCTGTAATTTATAAGTCCGTTCTTTACAACGACATTGGTCATCGAAACCCTGGCATCTAAGTACTATTTCACTTGGATTCATAATTTCTTTCAGATCAGCAGATGAAAAGAGATTGATAGGTTCTTTATGTTATTTTTGGCTACTTTACAATAATTTCTGTTTGTGGTATTTATCCTCTACACCAAAACTCCTTCTTTCCCAAGCGACTTGTTTACATACAGCGTATTGCATGTCGCTCGCCGCGGTGGTGGCGTAACCGCGAACGCTAACAACGTGTCAATGAACTCTGGGGGGCCGTAACAAGTATTATTTGGCCGTAACGATGCCGTAACACGTATACATGCTAGTTTTGGTACAAAATAGGTAGTAAGGTCTAAGGTGGAAGGTGGGACCGAGTTTGAAAAACTTGGCGCTCGCTATGATGAGGTGGCACTTACAATCTGGCATAATACTGCCTACAAACAGCTAAATACATTTTCATAGCCTCTTAAACTACCTAAAAACTTTCCAACTAATTAAAGAGCTGATGTACGAAATATCATAAAGGCGTCACGCACCACACCAGAGTCCAAAACGCGAGCTAATTAAAATCTATTTATCTAAAATCCAAACAGGATGAGGATGATGATAACGTGGGCAGTAGCAGCTTAGGCATGGTGATAAGAAGCCATAATAAATAATATTCTTTACTGACCACAACAGAAATCGTGAATTCAAATTCTCTTCTAGGGATATTTACACGATTATTTTACACCCTTAAAGGCCGGCAACGCACCTGTAACGCCCCTGGGACTGCAGGTGTCTATAGGCGACGGTAATCACTTCAGTACGGTATCAGTGTCGGTCACATAAAAAAAAATTTCTTTGATTGGAAACAAAACTCAGGCGTAAGATTTAAGTGCAAATATTGCAATAGGTAAGCCTAGTACCTAGTAAAAGCGCTTTTTTAAAGCCTATTTGCAAAAATAAATGAATTTTACCTACTAGGCTACAGTTACCTAACTGTACCACCATCATCGTCATTTATATTTCAGCCACAGCACACCCACTGCTGAAACTTAGGCCAGCCAAAAGCCTGCTGATATGCCTTTACTTTATGTAGCTAAAAGGGCATATTAAGGCCTTCAGTTGTAGGCTCTAAGTTACTATGTTAATGGAAATGACGTGTTTACCTAATTATTAATTGCCCAAATGGGATAAAACACATTTTAACATAAAATACAATTTTATTTAAACTTAAATAAGTAATATACATAATCGTAGTATAATAGAGATTTAGTTTAAATGGATCTCAATAAATGATTAAACCTAACTTGCATGCTATTTGGAAACATTACTTTATCAACAAAGATGGGAATGATCTATCATACAAAAGTAATTCTCAGTGTTCCACACATTATTTACATTTTTATAAAATCAAACATACAAGCTATGTGACCACTTCCTACATATTAGCAATTTAAGAGGAATCTACTCTTCTTGATAAATCATAGGAACACATTCTTCCTAACTCTTTAACTCAACATCTATCATTAGGTGACCTCTGAAACTGATACTGGAAATGAAAAATATAAGTTTGTATTTGATATCCATTGCTGTGGCAATATAGCAGACTAGTTTTCAACCGACTTCAAAAAAGGAGGAGGTTCTCAATTCGACCCGTATGTTTTTTTTTTTTTTTCTATGTTTGTTACGCGATAACTCCGCCAATTATGAACAGATTTGAACAAATCTTTTTTCGGCGTATAGGTAATACCTCAAGGGTGGTCCCATTTAAATTTAATAATAGAAAAAACAACCCCCAAGGGTGAAAAATTGGGGATGAACTTTTTTATACGCAATATCTCCGCCGATTATAAATCAATTTGAACGATTATTTTTTTGTTGAATAGGTATTATCAAAAGGGTGGTTTCATGCGAATTTGAAGAAAATATTTCACCCCCAAGGGTGAAATTTTTAATTTTTAGTTTTTTTTTGTGTTCACGCATTTGAAGTCGGTTTTATTTTTTTAAAAAGTTAATTATTATGAGCCTATGATGATGGATGTACAACCTAGTCGAGTTATTAAACTGCGCACCTCGCAGCCGTGACGTCGGTCTATTCCACTTTGATCACCTGGATATGATCACCCAGGTGATCAAAGTGGATTCCAGGCGACACTTTGGTGTCCTTTGATCACCCATGGATAAGAAGTCCAATTTGATCACTTAGGTGATTTTATCCTTGGGTGATCAAGGGCACCAAAGTGTCGCCTGGAATTCACTTTGAAGACTTGGGTGATCAAATCCAGGTGATCAAAGTGAAATAGACCGTGACCGTGAAGTTTTTTGTTTGTTTATGAGACTATGATAGATGTTCAGTTAAATAGACCTCTCCATAGAAGATTCATTGATTACACCTTATTGTTTACTATAATATCTAGTTACAATAATAATTACATCTCAATATACAAATTAGTTTTATGCTTTCTTATATTCAATCCTTTCTACTTTGACTTCGTCTCCTAATAGTTTGTAGACATAGGTGACCACTGTTGAGCTTTGGATGTCCATCAACACAAACGATGGGGTTGCGTTTCTGAAACAAATAATTGAAGTTTATTGGTTTGGAACTTTCCATAGAAATGTAGCATCATAAAGAGCAGAGAAATGGCTGCAAGTTCTTTGCAGAAGAGTATTATTTGTTTCTTTTTTTATTACTATGATAATAAGTTGTTGTATCTTCAATATTCAGGGTGATTGGTGGTGTGTGTTCTGTCAAACTCCATACGAAAACACCGGTTATACCCATATACCCAAAAGATAAGGAGACATGTAAAGTGCCCCATAAGGGCTACCTTTTCTTTTTTATTATTTACTATATTTTGACGTTCATAAATGCCACTTGTGGTCTAAACTGAATAAATATTTTTGATTTTGATTTTGGATTTAATAATCACAATTATGGTTAAAGTTAGACGGTGCAATTCAGATTAAGTTTCCTACTTCAATTGGTTAAGTAGTCTGTAACAATAGTGTTCTTATTGTTAAAGATTGTTTATTTAGCAATATTATACCTGAAGAGGGGGCTATAAGCGCCAGTAGCAGATCCAGGGTTGATATAGAACTTGTTTTCATGCTCGTAAGCTTCAAACCGATGAGTATGGCCCGAGATTAGGATGTCCACGTCCAACTGCCTCTGCACCAGAGCTAATGATTCCTCATCGCCCCATGGGACGACTTGGTGACCGTGAATGAGGCCGATACGGAACTGACCGACTGTGATCACTTTCTGCTCTGGATATGTAGCGTTCTGGGAAAGATTTAATATAATTAAAATTATACAGGTAAATATCTGAGACAATAATCCCAACTAATATTATAAATGCGAAAGTAACTCTGTCTGTCTGTCTGTCTGTCTGTTAGTCTGTCTGTCTGTCTGTTACGCTTTCCCGCTTAAACCTCGCAACCGATTTTGATGAAATTTGGCATAGAGATAGTTTGAGTCCCGGGAAAGAACATAGGATAGTTTTTATCCCGGTTTTTGAAACAGGGACGCGCGCGATAAAGTTTTTCTGTGACAGACAAAATTCCACGCGGGCGAAGCCGCGGGCGGAAAGCTAGTATTTAAATTTAATAATAGAAAAAACAACCCCCAAGGGTGGAAAATTGGGGATGAACTTTTTTATACGCAATATCTCCGCCGATTATAAATCAATTTGAACGATTATTTTTTTGTTGAATAGGTATTATCAAAAGGGTGGTTTCATGCGAATTTGAAGAAAATATTTCACCCCCAAGGGTGGAAAATTGGGGATGAACTTTTTTATACGCAATATTTTTAATTTTTAGTTTTTTTTGTGTTCACGCATTTGAAGTCGGTTTTATTTTTTTATATAGTTAATTATTATGAGCCTATGATGATGGATGTACAACCTAGTCGAGTTAACTGCACACCTGACAGCCGTGACGTCGGTCTATTCCACTTTGATATGATCACCCAGGTGATCAAAGTGGATTCCAGGCGACACTTTGGTGTCCTTTGATCACCCATGGATAAGAAGTCCAATTTGATCACTTAGGTGATTTTATCCTTGGGTGATCAAAGGACACCAAAGTGTCGCCTGGAGTTCACTTTGAAGACCTGGGTGATCAAAGTGGAATAGACCGACGTCACGGCTGACAGGTGCGCAGTTAACTCGACTAGAGAAATATCACAGATAACGCTAAATTTATCAACGTTGATGTCAAAAATAGCAAATCTCCATACATGTAAAGGAACACGCCCAAATTGACAAAGAAACACAGACAAAAAATCTTGGTGACAAAACTCCCCAGCGGTCATCTACTACCAAAAATTTCTGGGAACTTTTGTCACCACCGGTATTCAAGCGGCTAGGTTGTACATCCATCATCATAGGCTCATAAAAACTAGTCTGGTATATTGCCACAGCTATGGATATCAACGGACGCTCTGGTACGGACGGGGCGAACATACATCCATTTCACTCATCATAAATAAAATGACGCGTTATAATGAGAATTATTACCACACAAAACAACAATTGCTAATTTGACTACTGTAAATAAAGAAAATAGATAGATTTGTTTACGTTTAAACCGGTAATGGCGGCGGCCGGGTGGCGGGGAGCGGTATAAAAGCACGGGAGTCTTTTAACCAATCAACGTGCACCTTGCCTTCGTCGGATGATTTAACGGCAAGACGCCGTAAATTAATCAAAATACTAAAATACATACGTTAAATAGTACATTTCAAATGCCGTTTATTATTTTCCGAGAGTTGATCAACTACCTAGAAAATTGATCAACTTACGAGTCTTGTTATTTTCCGGTGACATATACATTTTGTCATGTTTATAAGACTATGATAGAAGTGCAGTGAAACATACCTCTCCGTACTTATAGAAGATTCATTGATTACACCTTATTGTTTACTATAAAATCTAGTTACATAATAATTACATCTCAATATACAAATTAGTTTTATGCTTTCTTATATTCAATCCTTTCGACTTTGACTTCATCTCCTAATAGTTTGTAGACATAGGTGACCACTGTTGAGCTTTGGATGTCCATCAACACAAACGATGGGGTTGCGTTTCTGAAACAAATAATTGAAATCCAATTTGTTTGGAACTGTCCATAGAAAAGTGGCATCTTAAAGAGCACAGAAATAGCTGCAATTTCTTTGCAGAAGAGCATTGTTTCTTTTTTAGGGTTCCGTAGCCAAATGGAAAAAAACGGAACCCTCATAGATTTTTATTACTATGATAATAAGTTGTTGTATTATCTTTAACATTCAGGGAGATTGTCTGGTGTGTTCTGTCAAACTCCATATGAAAACACCGGTTATCGTTACAGTTACGGTTAAAGTTAGGCGGGCAACTCAGCCTAAGTTTCCTAGTTCAATTGATTAAGTAGTCTGTAGCAATAGTGTTCTTATTGGTTTTTTTTTTCAGCCGAATGAAGTCAACTACTGGACAAAGGCCTCCCCAAGGAAATTAATTAATTAATCTTATAGCTAAACATTGTTTATTTACCTGAAGAGGGGGCTATAAGCGCCAGTAGCAGATCCAGGGTTGATATAGAACTTGTTTTCATGCTCGTAAGCTTCAAAACGATGAGTATGGCCTGAGATTAGGATGTCCACGTCCAACTGCCTCTGCACCAGAGCTAGTGACTCCTCATCACCCCACGGGACGACTTGGTGACCGTGAATGAGGCCGATACGGAACTGACCGACTGTGATCACTTTCTGCTCTGGATATGTAGCGTTCTGGGGAAGATTTAACATAATTCAAATTATATGTAGCAGAACTTCAATTAGAAAAGACAGGTTAATATCTGTGACTGTAATTGCTTGATAAACTCTGAAAATGGTTGTCCAAGTATGTGTGTTGAAAGAAAAGGTGAAACAAGAATCTTAGCAAGAAAAATAAGTTCAAAATGATTACTTACATCATCAAAATCTCCTCTAACAACATGCACATCACTGGCAAGTGTCTTCAAATAGTCGTAAGATTCCTTGGTGCAGAGGTTGCCGGTGCACAAGATATGCTGGATACGTCCTGGTAGGAGTAACTTCTTGAACTTGGCCGGCAAACTGCTGCAGCGGTGAGGAATGTGCAGGTCTCCGAGAACTAACACCAACTGGAAAAATGATGAAACTAGTTTTGGTTGTTGATCGGTTAATAAAACAGATAGTTGTTATCTGCCTCAGATTTACACTGGCATGTTAACCCTGAGGTGTACCCTGTAAGATATTTACTGTGATTTTCTGGTCAAACAATCTAGCTAATCTATTTGGCATCCTATTCAATGGTAATAGCATTTGTTTTGCAAAAAAAATTATGGGCTTTATGAAAATTGATCATTCTGAGAATTACTACTCTCATTTGTAAATTGAACTCATGTGAAGTAGAAGTATGGGCACAGAATAATAATAAGTACAGAAGTTTTACTTCGTGAAGGTATTTAAAAAAATGTATGCTCAATGTCATTAACAATATGGTGTAATTTAGCCTGTCTCAAGAGACAAGCACCATTTTGTTGACAAACGTCAGTGATCGGCACTGCGCAGAAGCTATACTGCTGACTTCGGTAAAATGATGTAACGTGAGGTGCCAAACTGCGGAAAATGGCGGAGGAAATACATGATTTAGCATGAATTATCATGAATAATATTAACTACTTATTTACCTCTCAGTGTCTTGAGGCAACTTAAAAAAGTACATTCTGTGTTTTAATTATTTAGGCAGTTAAATACTGCACAGTATTTAGTACACCATTTTCTTTATTTTCTTCCATCATACACAAGAATACGCGTGCGTGAGTCAATGTTCGCTCGTATGTGAGGCCTTGTCAAATAGTATCCTGTAGGTGGGCCATCGTGCGTGTTTTGTTTTCGATGTAAGCTCGCGGAGATGAACAGGCCTGGTATGGGTAACAAGAAACTTATCCTTGCCGGTACTATAAACTTATGTAAAACTACTTGTATTGTAGCTGTTGTCAGTCAACAGCATCAAAGTATGTTAGTGTTATTTAGTATTATTAATATACTCTAATAGTAATATTACTCATAGACCATGTATTCGCTTACAGATAATAAGCTCGTATTTACCACTCGTAATCAAGCTACGGTAGAAAAATATACGTGAAATAATAAGTAGGCGTAGCATAGCAATGTAAACTAAACTGGTTCAGGAATTGAGAAAAAAAACAAGATGATAATAGTAATCACGTACCATTTTTAGAGAGAAGTAACTTCTAAAGCTCCTATTGAATATTTGCAGAACAGCCTTTTATTCCGATTTAGCCGAAATTATTTTGTTGGAAAACAGGACGAAATTTTATTTTTGACAGTTGCTGACTTTTTTGACAAGTGACAAAACAACATTCATCGATCATAATAGGAACGAATTACGAAACGCATTTATCACTAGATTATTTTCGCGAAAAGCTAAGAAAGTTTCAAATGTTTTACTAAAACAAAAAAATTACGATAAATTAAGATTTAGAAATATGCGTTAAAGAAATTTCTTAAAGATAAATTATGTAAAAACAAACTCAGTGGATGATTAAACAAAACGAAAAGATACAGTTATAAAAAATCGACAACACACGTCTATGGATAAACTTGCCATATTATTCACTTACCATGCTTAGTGGGAAAATGCCTTTGTAGTAACAAAAAGATATTATTATCTAGTAAAAAAAAATAAGACGTTATTATTAGAGTAAAACTAGGCACATACCTAGTATAACTTTTACTTTTTATACCATATTACCTCCTTTATAATAAAAGTTAAACGCGCATTGACTACTGATTTAAAGTAATATATAATATGGAAATGTTCATGAACATGATCGTGTCGTACATGTTAATGTATAGTTTGAAACTAAACTTAAGTGGTCGATTCAAATTTTCATTAATAAACGCGCTTAGCTGACTAGTGAGCGAATTTAATGTAAACTCACAATCATCCCACTCCCACTGATCAAAACACATTTTGCATTTGTTTTTATTAAGCTCATTCAAAAATGTATTAGTACCTAATTCATTTCCGTTTGGCGTGTTTTTGTCCGAGTAAATAAAATAAAAATATAAATCGTTTTGCATTGCAAATAGAGATGGGTAGTGGGTAAAAACCCATTTCACCCGATTGGGTTAAAACTGGGTGATTTGGTTTTTATCCATTATCACCCATTCTGGTGGGTGAAAACAAAAATAGCGTTTTTTTAAGTGAGAAGTGGTATTTGTTGCTAAGGGGGCGTTCTAGTGTTACGTAATGCAATCTGGGGGGAGAGGAGGTCTTGAAAAACGTTACAATGCGTTAGTGGCGGAAGGGCGGTTCGATTTCAAGTTTTTAACCCTTAAATGGTTTCTGTCCGTTATAAAGGACATGTCAAACAATTGCCTACAGAATCTAAATTAAAGCAATTTATCGACTTTCAAGGGATATTTCATAAAAAGCATGATATTTTATGTGAAACACGGGGCAGTAGTTCCATAAAAAACCGCGAGTTTTAAAAATTAAGACAGTTGAATAANTAATCCCAACTAATATTATAAATGCGAAAGTAACTCTGTCTGTCTGTCTGTCTGTCTGTCTGTCTGTCTGTCTGTCTGTTACGCTTTCCCGCTTAAACCTCGCAACCGATTTTGATGAAATTTGGCATAGAGATAGTTTGAGTCCCGGGAAAGAACATAGGATAGTTTTTATCCCGGTTTTTGAAACAGGGACGCGCGCGATAAAGTTTTTCTGTGACAGACAAAATTCCACGCGGGCGAAGCCGCGGGCGGAAAGCTAGTTGCTTGATAAACTCTGAAAATGGTTGTCCAAGTATGTGTGTTGAAAGAAAAGGTGAAACAAGAATCTTAGCAAGAAAAATAAGTTCACAATGATTACTTACATCATCAAAATCTCCTCTAACAACATGCACATCACTGGCAAGTGTCTTCAAATAGTCGTAAGACTCCTTGGTGCAGAGGTTGCCGGTGCACAAGATATGTTGAATCCGTCCTGGTAGGAGCAACTTCTTGAACTTGGCCGGCAAACTGCTGCAGCGATGGGGAATGTGCAGGTCTCCAAGAACTAACACCAACTGGAAAAATAATGAATCTAGTTGGTTGTTGATAGGTTGATACAAACATTATAGTTTTCTCCCTCAAATTTATACTGGCATTTTAACCCTGTAAGATATTTATTGTGATTTTCTGGTACAAACAATCTAGCTAATCAATATGGCATCCTATTTAATTGTAATAGCATTTGGTAGCAAAAAAAATATGGGCTTTATGAAAATAGATCATCGAGAATTACTAATCTTATTTGTAAATTGAACTCATGTGAAGTAGACGTATGAGCAACAAGAAACGTTTCATTGCCAGTACTATAAACTTAAGTAAAACTACTTGAATTTTAGCCAACAGTATCAAAGTATGTTAGTGTTATTTAGTAATACTATACTCTAATAGTAATATTACTTATAGGCCATCTATTCGCTTACAGATAATAAGCTCGTATAATTACCACTCGTAATCAAGCTACGGTAGAAAAAATTACGTGAAATACAAGTAGGCGTAGCATAGCAATGTAAACTAAGAAAACTGGTTAGTTAGGAATTGAGAAAAAACAAGATGATAATAATAATCACGTACCATTTTTGAGAGAAGTAACTTATAAAACTCCTATTGAATATTTGCAGAACAGCCTTTTATTCCGATTTAGCCGAAAATATTTTGTTGGAAAACAGGACGAAATTTTATTTTTTTTTTGACAGTTGCTGACTTTTTTGACAAGTGACAAAACAACATTCATCCATCATAATAGGAACGAAACGCATTTATCACTAGATTATTTTCGCGAAAAGCTAAGAAAATTTTCATGTTTTAAAACAACAAAAAAACACGATAAATTAAGAGTTAAAGAAATTTCTTAAAGATAAATTATGTAAAAACAAACTCAGTGGATGATTAAACAAAACGAAAAGATACAGTTATAAAAAATCGACAACACACGTCTATGGATAAACTTGCCATATTATTCACTTACCATGCTTAGTGGGAAAATGCCTTTGTAGTAACAAAAAGATAATTATTATCTAGTAAAAAAAAATAAGACGTTATTATTAGAGTAAAACTAGGCACAACATACCTAGTATAACTTTTACTTTTTATACCATATTACCTCCTTTATAATAAAAGTTAAACGCGCATTGACTACTGATTTAAAGTTTAGTATGGAAATGTTCATGAACATGATCGTGTCGTACTCGTACATGTTAATGTATAGTTTGAAACTAAACTTACTATTGGTCGATTCAAATTTTCATTATAAACAGTGTTGCCAACTTAGTGGTTTTTCCACTAAATCTGGTGGTTTTGACTTACCTACTAGCGGACAAATATGGGTTTTAGTGGCTAGTGGATTTATCTAGTGGAATTTAAGAATTAAAGCTTTTTTTTCTTAAACATTGGAATAACGATTATATGGTCCACTCGTATCGTTTTTGGAGTTTAATTTCATCGTGCAGGCAACACTGTTCGAGCTAGCGAGTAAAGAGACCTAAGAAAAATGACAATAAATTATTATCGGGATTCCCTGAGTACCCTTTCCTAAAGTCACAATTTTCGTTCACGCTCATTNAAAAAACTCCCCTTTCGGGGGCCCCCACCACTTAAGCACAACTCCGTCGAAGTCGAAAACTTAGGAGAGTCTTAATGGGCAACCAATGAAGCCATTAAAGCAAAAAAATCTTTTGTAGGAATTATTTCCGATTTAATCAATTTTTGTGTTTAATTCTACTGGCCTAATTTGGCCACGATATAAATGCATATTAGTGTTAAATTTGACTTATTACTTATTAATCAATAAACTTAAATGAGAAAAATTCAATAAAAATAAAGAAAAGATACCAATTGAAATAATTATAAAATTATTTGTTTTCACCCGGTGTAAACACCCACGGGTGGAATGAAACGGGTTTTTGTTGGGTTTTTACCCTCATGTGGGTTTTTACCCGGGTGGAAACCCATCTCTAATTGCAAATTGATTCTGTACAATAATGACAATACCTATAGATTTAAAAATGTTGTCATTTTTACGGATTCCATGAGCGCACTTCAAGCTTTAAATCAATTTCCTTTTAAATCCAGAAACCAGTACCCTGTAATATATGACATTAGAAAGTTATTTTATGAATGTATTTCACTTGGCCTGAATGTTTGTTTCGCCTGGATTCCTAGTCACTGTGGGATAAGAGGTAACGAAATTGCAGATCGTCTTGCCAATGAGGCGGTCTCCTGTGGAGATTTGTTTCCCTATCAGAGTTATTGTCATGATCTCCTAGCATTGCCCAAACTTTCTTTAAACTCTTCCTGGCAATCGGATTGGGAAATTAGTTGCAAATCAAAAGGCTTTCTTTTTTCACTTCTTCAGCCACAAATACCTACAAAGCCTTGGTTTTTCAAGTTGAAATTTGATAAGAGAGTTTCTTCATCTATCATACGCATGAGGTTGGGTCACACGTGTACACCCTCTCACCTCGCAAGACTCCATATCATTAATGATGATTCTTGTGAGTGTGGCACCGATTCAGGCACTATCAACCATATTTTCTTCTCCTGTCCTAGTTTTGACCGCTCTGCTTTCCTTCGGGAACTCTCTTCCTTACACATTCCTTTCCCGTCTTCTATAATGTCTCTCCTTTTCCATAAAGATCCTGTTGTATATAATTGTATAGCCAAGTTTATTACTGTAAATAATATAAAGCTTTGATTTTTTCTTTTTCAAACCTACCTATAATAATTATAATGACAAGCCTAATTAATCTTAAATTGCACAAAAAAGTAAGTAATGCGTGTATTAAACCCATTAAAGTAAAAAAATAATATTGTCCAGCTAGCTTGTTCTACTCGAATCACTGTGCGATGGTGTGATTTTTATTAGTGGATTTCTGGTGGTTTTAGAGGTCAATTCTGGTGGGGAGCTTGATACTTCGTTGGCAACACTGATTATAAACGCGCTCAGCTCACTAGTGAGCGCATTTGATGTAAACTCACAATCAACCCACTGATCAAAACACATTTTGTATTTGTTTTTATTAAGAAGCTCATTCAAAAATGTACAGCCTTGGCCAAAAGTATTGAGCACCCATGATATTTATTAATTTTGAAGGAATTATACATGTGTCTGAATCAAAACAGTTTTTAACAGTTTTATATTGTTTATTAACAACAAAAAATTAATACTTTGTTGGACCACCCTTTGCCTTAATTACTGCAGAAGTAATTTTTGGTAAAGATTGTACTAATTTATTACAATCGTCACATGTTAAAGCGTTCCACTCTTCCCGCAAGCGACGTTTTAGGTCTTCTTTTGTTTTTATTCAATGGCGCCGGACCTTGTCCTTCAATAGACCCCACAAATGCTCGATGGGGTTCAGGTCTGGTGACTGGGCAGACCATTCAAGCAGCTCGATGTTATTGTCACTAAACCAAGCCATCGTTTGTGACAAGGTGCGTTATCCTGCTGGAATTTGACGCTTTCCATGTTGGTGTCACCAAAAAGTGTTGTAAACGAGGGCAGAAGTGCGGATTCAAGAACGTTTATGTACTTTGTAGAGTCCATGCGTCCTTTACACACAAACATTTTCCCAACTCCTGCGGCGCTCATGCACCCCCAGACCATCACACTGCCGCCGCCATGTTTGACGGTAGGTACCTTACACTCCGGGGTAAATTCTTCGTCTACTCGACGACGGACAAATGTCACACCAGGTGTGCCAACAATCGTAAAGTAACGAAATTTTGTTAAGTGTTTTTCGGTCCAATATTTATTTTTACAAATATAGTTTTATAATATTATTGTCGCGTATTGTTATTACATGATATTGGCTAACTTACCTCAAAGTTTGATTCATCTGACCACACAATATTTTTCTAATCTTCCTCGGTAAAAGTTTGGTATTTTAAAGCCTACTCGTAACGAGCTGTTTTGGTCTTTACTGAGAGCCATGGCTTCTTTCTGGCTGTATAGCCCTTAAGCCCAGCTTCTTGGAGTCTTCTGCGAGTTGTTCTTGCAGAAATCGGCGTATTAATTTCAGCTGATAACTCAGCAGCGAGGTCGGAAGAAGATTTTTTATGATTTTTCAAAGACTAACAATACTACAGTATCATAGCTAAACATCTCGAAACGTGTTTTATTGCACGTTGTGCCGTGAGTTTATGTTTCAAAACCTGTCAAAGAAAGGTTTTTATCAAATATCTTTGAGTATCTTTTATAGTTATCACGTATAAGCAGTATTTAGGGGGTGCTCAATACTTTTGGCCAAGGCTGTATATAGTACGTAGTACCTAATTCATTTCCGTTTGGCTTGTTGATTGTCCTAATAAATAAAATAAAAATATAAATCGTTTTGCATTGCAAATTGATTCTGTACAATAATGACAATACCACAGAGCAAATATTTATTAGCATTAGTGGGTAATTCAATTTAGTTATATGGCAATCAATTCACTTTACTCCACTCTTTTCTCTTTGGTGCAGGTGCGGATAGAAAAGAAAAATTTCATGGTGTTGTGGGTGACACATATACGTAGAAAAAATTTAGTGTAAGATAAATCACATTGGCACCAACTGCAGGAAAATGGAATCAATGGAATATGAGCTCGCTAGAAACCTCACTCTGTTGTTTTTCGTGGAGCGCCTGCTCGACAAAGGCGAGCCTCGGACGTTGCACGATCTTTCCTGCCAGTTTGGTGCCAAAGGGTTCACGAAGGAGATGCGGCAGATAGCTGGCGGGTCGCAGTCGGGGCTGAAGAAGTTCCTGGCTCAGTACCCGGCGTTGTTCAACATAGACGGGGACTATGTCGATATCAACACGTTCCAGAAGCATCCGAGCGGGGCTGGCGCGTCGTCCAACAACGACTACATCGAGGAGGCGAAGGACTACTTCGCGAGCAAGATGATCCAGTACGGCGAGGGCACGGAGGTGCCCATCAAGAGCCTGCTCGGCCACCGCAGCCAGGCCTCGCCGCAGGTCCGCCACATCTCCGGCCAGCGCATCAAGGAGTTCAAGGAGTTCCTCATGAAGCACCCGGACACTTTCCAGATAATCGAAGACAACGTCGTTCTAGTCAGTGAGAATCACAGAAGAGGTAACGCACACAGTAACTCTGAACAATTCCACAACCTCCCGGTACCCAATATCAATACAGACACGGCCCAACAGTTATTGGACTATGTCGCGCAGTGTATCGAAGCTAAAGGTCCCGTCATGGTCGACCAGCTCTTCCACTTGATCGTGTCACGGTTCCCCCAGGAGTACTGGTATCAAATGTTCAAATCGCCCGCTGACTTGAGCGCTTTCCTCAAAATATTCTCAGACAGTTTCCATGTCCAATCAAACCTTGTCACACTTATTAGTAAACCAAAAATTCCTGTAATGTATTTAAACGCTAAACCTAAAGCCAAGACTGATGCACCAAAGCCTGTGATTGAGGAGAAGCCGGTGTCGCCAGCCCCGCCTATAGTCGTGAGCCCTACCCCTTCAGATGTCGTTGACGGTAAGAAGAGTCCCGCAAACAGAATACTCAGCCCTGTAGAATCTCCCCGCGGTCCACAAGCAAACATAGCAAATCAAACGCTGAAGCAAAGGATCAATTCTATTGTAATCAAAAATTTGGCAGAGAATATGGTCAGGGACAGAGTCAACAACCATTTGAACGCTCGCTCTGAAGAAACAAATGGTACTCCTAGTTTGAGAAATAATGTCATGGGTGAAGCGT